TAATTTACTACTTATGATTTTTATGAGATGTTTGTTAATTACTACCATTAACAATAGATATAAAAATGGATTGAATTAGGAAAAATATCTAATTAACAGATGATTTCAATTGATTTATTAGAGTTTTCTTAATCTTTAGCTTTAGATATGATAATACATCAATAATTTTAAGTGAATTATCAGCCAAAAGGTAGATTAATGCTTTCTTCAATAAGTTAATAAAAGTAAAAATAATAATTATAATGGGAAGATTAATATTTTAGTGAATTGGATTCTGATTCTGATTACAAAAAGCTAATAAGAAAATGTATTCTATTGAGCTCTAAAGGAAGTTAACATTCATTTACTCATAAATCAATATAAGAATTTTTTGTTGCAAAATACATATTATATCAATTAGAAAATATATATAATAATAAATTGAGTGATGAATAATAAATTGATACAAAATAACTTGAAAATAGTTTGATGAACAATGATTCATTTAATATGTCACATGAACATTTTTAAGGTGCTTTATTGTTACTTAAAGAAAAACTATAAAATAAAGATGATATTACAAAATTATTGGTGTCATTAGTTCAGCTATCAAAGTAAAAAGACTCAAAGTTTATTCGCATAGCCTCAAATTCTATATTTCTTTTAAGTTTTTTAGGGAAAAATCTAGGATTATAAGATTTCGATTCAGTTTGTATATCAGAAACATACATAAATGGACTTAGCTTTTGTGAGAGTAGGCTATCTAAGACCTTTTTTAATTAAGTTTCTATTGATTCATGTAATTTTAATAATGCTATTATAACTGATGCAGAATGGAGTAATATAATTACTAAAGAAAGAATTACAAAAGATTATGAAGGTGAAAGATTTTTTGAAATAGTTTTGAGTGAAAATGGAGATGAATTTTATACTTTGAGTTAGTTTAATGAGCATTAAATAATACTTAGATAATTTAATTTTAAATTGGACTAAAAATCAAAAGAAAGAAAATTTAATTTGAAATTTAAGGATGAGATTAAATCAATTTAAATAGCTTAAAATTTATCAATTATGTGTTGCTAAACAGAAAGTTCAATATAACTCTGGAATTTGCACGATTAAAATAATAATATAAACAATGATGATTGTATTATTCTAAGAAATTTAAGAGATATAAAAGTGATTCTTAGTTAGGATGGAAGTTAATTGTTAATAAACATGGAGAATATAATTATTTGGTTTAATGAACGTTTTCATTTAAAATTATAAAATTCCTTAACAACAACTGAGTCAATACCTGATTTGAAATATAATAACCTTAAAATGGCAATTTCTCTAAATGCAAAACTTCTAGCCATTGTAATTAATACAAAAATTATGTTTTGGGATATTCAAGATTATCAAAATATCACAAAAGTTCAAGAAATCGAACTCAATGAAGAGGATTATAATATTGCTTTTTCTAAAAATGGAAATTATCTTGTTATAACCCAATATAATTAGCACACTATTATGGAAATTAACAATCAAAGAAAAATTAATAAAATTTGCTCTTTTTATAGCTTAAGCAAAAACGAAACAGCCTTGATATCCCCGGACAACAATTATATCACTTTTTATGGTAGTGAGTATTTAACTATATATTAGACTATCGATATAAAGTAATTTTAGTAAAAATATAGAATATAACATAAGTTAGAAGATTCAAAAAATGTGATTGCAGCTATTTCAAACAATTTCGAATTATTTGCTTGTACAAGAAAATTCGCTACTCATATTTGGAATATTAAAGAACTTAATTAAATATAGTATATAGGGGTTTTAGAATAAGATGAATAATATGAAATGTAAATTTTGGAATTTTCAAATGATTGTTCATATTTAATATCATTTGCTTTATAGTAAGTTTTTTTTATATGGGATTTAAAATAAATGAAATTAATGAAGAAATTTACCTATGAGGATGATATGTCTAGCCTAATATTTTCCTCTGATGGATAAGTTTTAATATCAACTTCTAATACAAATATAGTTCTTTGGGATATGTCAAACTTTAAAGAGCCAATCATTATTAGTTAAATCGAAAAGTATTGCAGAATTAAATTTTTAATTGTATCAAAAAAATAAGGTCATATGATTTTATCTGGTGAATCCAGAGATTTTGTAATTTGGGAAATTTAGAGTGATAAGATAATTTAAGGATTCGATAAAGAGTCCAGTTTTGCAATTTTTAATGATGAGGGCGATAATTTTGCTACATATCACAAAGGAATTGTAGAAATTTGGAAATTATAAGAGAATATTTTTGTAATAGAGCATAAGCTAGAAATTCTAAATAAACTCATATTTTTTAGCTTAAACAGTGATAATGTCTAACTCTTAAAGAATAACTATAAATTTATTCTTAAAAAATTATTAACTTAAGATCATTAGTTTTGTCAAAATCAATATTTAGAAAATGAAGGTTTTTAATTAATTTTGACAGTTGAAAACGAATATATAGAAATTTAGAAGATAGAAGGATAAAGCTTCTATTATATTTAAAAATAAACAATAATAGAAGCTGTTTTCTCTTCAGATTCCTCTATTTTATGTTTTGCAACTGAAAAAAAATAAATCATTATAATGAATATTTCTAAAACAGAAATTATAAGTCAAATTAATATTGATACTAGTGAAATTTGTCGTATATAATTATCTGAAGTGGATGATATTTTAGCAGTAGCGCATGGAAACAAAGACTAGACCAGGATTGATTTATATACAATTAAGGATCGAGAAAATCCTTGCTATCTTCAATCCACTGAATGTTTCGGTATTCCTCACACAATGTTATTTATGAATAATAATTAATATCTTATAATAGGGGTCTATTACATAATTTAACGCTTTGATCTTGATAATTTTAAATAACCAAAATTAGTGGGTTTTTAAAATGAACGGAATGAATTTATTTAGCATTTAGATGGATAGCATCTAATATTTGTTAATAAAGCAAAAGGATAATTTTGTTTTTTAAATACACATTCTATCAATTATATTTCTGGAATTCGTTTTTTAAAAACATTATTTGATTTCGGTTTTTTTTAAAAAAATAACAATCTAATATAGATATTTTCTCAATTTGGTAATGATCTTTATTTCACAGAAATAAATTCAAATACTAATTTATACAATGACAAATTTTATTTATTAAATTTAAACTGTTATGTAACAAATATCCTAAAAACAAATACATAAGATTTATGGATAATTAGAGCAACACCAATAGGAGAAGAACAATTTATAATTTTTGATTCAAAAAAGAATGCTTTAATAAATATAATGTCAGATAAAGAATATTTATTTTTTAATCATTTTTAAATGTCAGAAGATGATTAATATCTTGTGAGTGCTTATAATGATTCTCATATTAAAGTTTGGGATATGAAAACTTATAAGCTTCTCTTTAAATAAAAGATGAATACAGATTCTTTAGATAGAGTTTTGATATCGAGTAAAGGCATGTTGATAAGTTGTTATATGAGCAAATTAAAAGTTTGGAACTTTAAAGCATTAAGGCAATAATAATAATAGAATTTTCAATTTGATGGACATAGTTACCCAATATAAAATATATTAGTTTCACCAGATGGTTTAGTATTAGCTTCTGGATCATTTTTTGAAATAAAATTTTGGGATTTAGAAGAACTCAGATTGTTAAACACTGAAATTGCTAGAGATTTTATGGAGAATGCTGGATTTGATAATACTGGTACATATTATCCAAGTAGATATATAATAAAATAATGGGTATAGGTATTTAAATTCATGAGTAAATTTATTATTGAAACATTTACTCTCAAAGCAGAAGAACAATGCAATTACTTATATTTTACCTCTGATTCTTAACAAATAGTCTAAGTTTTTGAGAAATATAGCATTTTCTGGAATCTGAAAGAGGCAGAAAAGTTGAATAAATTGACATCCTATTTTTTAGATGAATAATCTGTCATAAAATTAACTATTTCGGATAATTGCAAATATGCCATAGCTCATAGTCCGTTCTAAATATTTGAAGTAGATGCTGAAAAAAAATTGAGGGAAATAAAGACTAAGGACTGTTAAGAACGTAAAGTTCGGAGTTTTTGTTTATCATATGGTTCAAAAATGATTGCAATATAATCTGATTAGGAAGAAATTGTATCTTAAGAAATATTTATATTTTCTCTTTTGTAAATGGAAATCATCTAAACAATTAAATGCAATGATCAAATTAGATCATTCTGTTTCTCTTTTAATGATGAGTTTTTGATATTATTATGTAGGAAAGAATATTTAGTTTTCAAAGTTGATAACATTCCAATTATTGAAATAAAAAGAGTAGAGATTGCTTCGGATGAAGAATTTACAAATATATTTCCATTCTAAGAGAATTAATTTATCTTCTTCTAAAAATAATATATTCAAGTTTTTTAGAATTTAGAATTATTAAACCAACTTCCGATTAAAACAATTAAAACTATTGATGCTTTTTGTACAAAAGATAAATTATTCGCAGTTGCATCAAATAGTGATCATACTATTGATATATATGAATTAAAAAATTCAACTAAAATCGAAGAATTTGCTATTTTGTATAACGTTGAAGTAATTAAAAGTTATCATCATCAATGCAACTCAGCAATTTAGTTTTCCATAAATTGTTAATTCTTAATATCACTAGAAAGTTACAATGAAGTTAAATTATGGGACATCACAAATAAATAATCAATTCAGTTACGATATTTGCAAAAGAATATTTCTGTTAATGCTTTCAAGATTTTATAAGATAAAAAAAAAGGCCAATAAGATCAAGAATGCAGAATAGCATTGGTTGGGAATGATAATACAATTCATATTCAAGATTATAATTTTAATCTTTTCCTTGCCACTTAGAAAGAATTACCTCAAGTGAATAACAAACAACAATTTTAAATAAGTTCACCTTATGGAAAATATTAATTATATTATCTTAATGATCATAATACTATTTTTATTTATGATTAATAGAGATAATTAATAAATTAAAAAAATCTGATTGATGAAGAGAGTATTGATAATATTAAGTTTTTTGATTCATAGACTTTAGTTTGGAAAGATTAAACTAAACTCATTTTTTGGAAATTTATAATAGATGAAGAATAAGAATAAGAATATAATTATAAGGAAGAAACTTTGTATTTAACTTGTTCCCCAAATAAGTAGGTATTTTTAGGTTTATGTGGTAACAGGAAAATATTGGGAATCTACAATAGGTAGACTGGTTAACAGATATTAAAATTATAAACTTTTTAATGTTCAATAACTTAAGGTTGTTTTTCTCCTTGCGGTGAAAAATTTAACATAGGTTTTCAAGATGGATCCATATAATTATTTAAGTTTGATTCAAACAATATAGATAATTGTAAGCCACCTATTTGTTATAAAGTATTTGCAAAAAGTTCTCCATTTCTCGCAAACAATTGCCAAATAAATAGATCTAAATTTACAAGTACTGAAAGTGAAAATCTAGAGTCATTATTTCTAGAAAAAGGAGCCATAAATAAATGAAATAATTAAATTTAATAATTACAAATATTCAATTTAAACATTGATAGTATATATATTATTTTTTATTTAGTTTCCTTTTATAAATAAAGTAATTTTTATTTTTATGCTTTATGAATTTGAATTATTTATAATATTTTATTATTGTAATTATTATTTATAAATATAAACACTTATATTTTGATTATTAAAATTATTTAAAAATACAAATATTTTATGATATTTATATTTATAAATATTAAATTAAATTGTAAAAAAAAGAAATTAATAACAAGATTATGTAGGAAGTTACTTAACAATCCTATCCAATTTTCAGATGATTATTTTAATTAAGGTTTAGTATAATCGTAACTTTTTGTATTACTACGATTGATTATATGTATATTCTTACATCAATTTATTTTATATATATTAAATATAAATCAAGTCATATTCAACTTAGGAGAGAAGTCATTCTCATTGAATATTCTATTTTAATACTATTCTGTCGCCTTCTATGGAATTCTACTTTATTTCAGATCTATAACTTCTCCTACCTTATTTACTTAGTTCTACATTGTAGGTTGTAAAGGATTCAAAACCTGTTGGGTTTGTTTTTATTGCTTATATAAAGGAATTCCAGTTATTTATGTTGGAAATGACAGAGGAGTATTGCTTAATTTCTAATTTGTAATTTATTAATTTTATGGAATGTAATAATTAATTCCTGGCTGCTGAGTTGGAAAACCTTATTAAATTGAGGGAATCATTATGTCAAATTTATTTTGTGGAATTATATATCTTTTTTAAATAGGATATCCTTTTACAATTCTTGCGTTAATGGGAGAAGTGGAGACAGCATGTTATTAACTGCTTGATCTCTTTGTTTTTTCATATGATGAAGATTATGTGTTATTTTGTTATTCATTAGGAATTATTAATATATAGGAGCTCAATGAGTCTAAGATATTTTATAATTTTGTAGGATTAATTTATATTTTATCTAACTAGGTTTTTATTTAATCCATAAATTAAATAGACATTTCATGTTATTGAGAATAGATGTCTTCTGGTTTGCTTTATTTATAACATTTGATTAAAGTCTTTAAACATTTATCTGAATTCAATTTTTATAATCTAGTTTACAAATGATTCCATTTTTCATATGCTAATCTATGATATGAATTAAGTTAATTGAATAATAAATCAGTTTATTTTTATGTTAATGTATTGATTGTATTTTCATGTGTTTAAAAATATTGATCAATTAATTTATATAGAGATTGTTTGGCTTCAAGAAATCTATTTTTTTGATTTTTATAATGTTCATTAATGAATATTTTAAGTTCATTTAGATTTTGTATATCATTTGTCATTAGATTGCATATATCAACAATTTTATTTTATTGTTCTGTTAAACAGGTAGTAAGATGATCAAAAGAAGATGGTTAAAGTAAATTATTATGATCTTCTTAATGAATGGTTACACATTAAGGACATAAAGGTAATAAACAATCTCTTAGAAATAATAAAAATAATAATGATACAGATGTTTGCAAAAGTTTTTTATAATTTAATCAGGATGGTAATGACATTAGACAATAGGTGTATTAACTTAAGTATTATGTGTCAGAAGATGTATTTTGTAATTGTCTTTAGATTGTTGTTATTATGATGATGGAGTAATAGGTCTTTTTGTATTAGTTTCAGAATCTGATTCAAATATACGAGTACGTGTTTATCTTTGAATTGAACTCATAAGTTATAAATATTAAGTGTCTAACTGAAAAGAAAAGATGTAGATGATAATTAATAATTAAATATTAACAACTTAATTAAATGAAGTAATATGAATAAGAAGACTTGAAATGTTCATCAACTAGAAGTGCATAAAAGCAATTTAATGAGAATTGGTTTCGTACACCTAAAGCTACACAACGTACCATTACTCTTTAATCTGATAATAAGATATAAAGTAGATAATTATTAGATAATAATCAATTAACAACTTAACCTTGTATATCATTTAAACAAGAATTCTAAAAAATATCATCTAAAATAGGTAGCTTTGTGACTCCGACAAGTGATTTCTAATCTCCTATGCAATAAATATATGACCATTAAGTATTAGAATTGAAAACTATAGATATGTAAAATCTAAATGTTTCTTTGTAAGTAAGTTATACTAAAATCTTTAGTCAGAGATTATTAATCTTAAATAACAAATACAATTCTAGACAGATTCTATTAAACATAAGGATATGATCATTAAAAAATTAAACTTTACAGTCTAATAATTAACATCATATAATTAATAATTGAAATCATCCTTACCATCAGATCATGATTTAGCTAAATTTAAAAAACAAATTAAGTTCTTAGAAGAAGAATTGGTTGATAAAAATAATTAAATCTAATAATTTTCTAAAGTATTCATTTCATATATATATATATAACTAGATATAAGATGAAATCAAATCTTTAGAAGAATTCTATGTTAAAATGTTATCTAAAATGAAATCTGATTTAGTATTTTAAAACAAAGAGTTATTGAAATTACTTAATCATGTTTAATGCTTAAGTTAGATTGCTATATTGAATTTATAAAATGAAGAACTTCCAATCGATCTCCTATTCAAATATAAATAATATGGATTGTTTGAAGACGAATAATAAATTGCTCAAAAAACAGAAGTCTTTGAATTAACTAAAGAAAATGGACACTTATTATCTAAAATATTGGATGAAATCAAAAAAACCTTTGAAAAAATATCCTATCATCTTGTGGAAGGATTTTCATTATTGACTAAACATTGAATATCGATTATATATATAAATTTATGATTACAAATTTATTACAATATATATCATTAAGAAATCAATCTATCCATTCCAATTTATTTGAATATTCAACAAAAAAGTATATCATCCTAATTTATTTAGCCGTTTTTGTCTCCAAAAATGAAGTATTTATATCTTTAATGTACAAATCCTTTTATATCATCATTTAGTTATTATTATCCATTCCTTTCTCTATATTTTTCAATTACATCCATAAATTTATTATAGAAACAGGATTCTAAGCAAAGTTATTTCTAGATTAGAAATCAGCTGAAAGAGTAATTTTAAAAGAGAGTAAAAATAAACAATAATATTCTAACAAATTGATCTGAATTTAGTTTAATCAAATTACTAATTTCTTTTTTATATATTTCATGCACCACATCATATATTTTAATCTTCAATTTGAAACATTCTTTTCAAATAATGATTCTTTCATTCAATCACAATAAATATATTGTAAATAAAATTATTAAATCTTGAATATAGGTTTAATAATATGATTTTGCATAACAAATGATAAAACTGACTTAAACAATAAACTAATTTCTATTCAATCTGAATGAAGATCAATTTATAAGAAAATTAAAGCAATTGTTCATCAATCAATAAATCTACAATTATGAATATTGAAATGAATTTATTCTTAATATTGCATTTTCTTTAAATAATATTAAATTAATTTTAATATATGCAAGTATACAAATAGTCAAAATTTACTTCGAAATCTATAGGAATTAATGTCACTTTTAGAGATTTATTGGATAGCTCTATTCAATCTAAAATAGGCAAAGTAGTTAAAGTCTTTATTAGTAAAACTTAAGCAAATAATTATAAGTTGAGGGTTATTATGTGTGTAATTGTTAGAGAGATCTTTAAATTTTAATTTAAGGAGAATCGTTGAGATTTTATAATCATTGACTTTGATGGATAAAGGAGGAAGTTTATACTTAGAAAAATAACTTGATTTCTATTGATAGTGTACTTTACAATAAAGGGGAAAGTTAAGTTAGAATCTATAGGTTGAATTCACTTATTATGGGGTTAAATACAAACACGATTAGAATATACGAATAAACATTATAAACAATAAAAAAGAATATATCTCCAATCAAGATCTTAATATTCCTTTAGTTCCTAAATTTATACTTTAACATTAAGATAATGTATTAAGAATTGAAATTAATCATGACAGAAGGGATGATATAAATTTTATGGTGATGAAAAATAAATATCTCATTAAGTAGTCTAATATTTAGAAAAATTGTGAATAACTATATATAAATATTTAGATATCCATTATATTCAATATTTTATTTCTAATTAGGTGCTCTATAGATAATAATAAATATATCATAAAGGATAGAATTTCTGTTAGACATAGTAAGAGAAATTTTGAGTTTTTATTATTTATTTGAAAATTTCATCTTTAGTTGAATTAAGTATTTTCTATTAAATTTGATCAAGGTTAATTTCTCCATCAACTTCTGGGATCAAAGAAAGTATGTTTTCCTAAATATAGGTTTTGGTATCATCTAGGATTTGAAAACTTAAATTCATTGTTGTTTCATTATTATCTGCCAAATAATGTCCAGGAACACTTTATTGACGTAATTATTAGTAAGTTTGAAATAGTTTATAAAACAAAGTAGTATACAATTAACTTTCTGTTAGATTCTTTGTTAAATTAAAAAATTTGAGTTTATTTGCATCAAAGAAGAGAACTTGAGATTATTCATCATAAAATGAATCATTATCTTCTATACCTAAATTATGTAATCCATTTTCATTATCTTTTATTATTCCACAAATAAATGGAACAGGAGAATCAAGGATTGGCATCAATTATGCTGTTAAAGCATAAATTATTGGATGTATCTATTAAAAAGGTTTAATCATATGTGGTAATATCATACTATTTAATTTATATTTAAAATTACAGTAATGAACTCAATAAAGTACGGTTACTACTAATTATACAAATATTCTATTCTAACAACATATTAATTAATAGGATTAAGTAATGAGGTAATTCTAAATGTGAAAATGCATATGATATAGCCCATTCTATTTCATAATTTTCAACATTTTAACAATGAATTACATGTGGTTTAATTGGAGTTTATAAAAATTAGTAATTACATTCACTAATTAACTTTGAATTCTGTAACTCTGTTAAAAAATTGAATAATTCTGGTTTAAATGACTATTCTTATAGAATATAAAATAAATACTGTATAGAATGAGTTATCAATATTTCCTAAAGTATCTTCAAATTCAGATACCATTGAATAGATTTCTGCTTTTTTGTATTTTAATGTATCTAGTATTAAATATGAATAAATTTAATACTTATAATAATTTTGATAATTTCAATAAAGAAATCAATAATAGGAGCCTTTGTAATGAAACAATAAGTTTTAGAGAGTGAATAAAAGTATTTCTTTTGTAATTTTGAATTTTTAATAGAAGCATTATAATCATAGAAATCAGGCACATCAACACAAACACAATATAATTAATGATTAACATTAGTAATAGAGATCAACTCACTTATATTATCTGGATTAGTTAAGATTGTATTTTTAATAAGATTATTGTTATTAAATGTTTATTCTGATTTCATGGTAATAACATAAGCACCTGCTAATCTATCATAACTTTGGCCTCCCATTAATATTCTAAATATATGATATATTGATTTACGAATTCAAATTACTCATAGATAATGTTTTCTCTTCTAATTTAACTTTTAATCCATATGGATGTATTTATTAGGGTAATAATAATAATTATTCTTTATAACATGATTAAGCAGATGAATGTTAAAATAAAATTTCTGGTTTTAAGTTAACTTCTCTTGTTTCTAATATATTGGTATTCAATCCATTTAAAGTTGATTTAGAGACACTAATAATAAGAAATTCTTCAAATAATGAATGTTATTTAATTTATTATTATTATTATAATTATTATTGTTACTACTATGGTTATGATTATAATTCTTGTTCAATAGCAATAGGTTCATGAAATAATTATTAAGAACTGAAATTGGAATCCACTTCACCTTTACATTATTCCAATTTCTTTTTTGAATATTTTTGTATAATTTTATCAACTTTTGATAGATTTTCATAATTATAATCCTAAACCTGTATTTCTTAGACAACAACTTAATGTAATTCATCTTCACTGTATTTTCTAAGTTCTGCTACTTAAGGACTGTTGACTTCATCTTAATCATTATTAAATTTCTTAGGACTTAAGTGATTCATATGCAGAGTAGTCTTCTTAGTCTCAAAGATACGTTTTCCTATATTCTTATACATTTTAACTACTTTAAGGTTGAATAGTCTAAGCAACCTTTTTATATCGATCTAATGATACTGCACTAAATAATTCATCTTATTTCAAAGCTAACTATTATTTTCATTTCATAATACTTGCAATTCAAAACGTAATGAACCATTCTCTCTTTACAATTACTCAATTTATTAGTCTTTATCTCTTAATTGTATTTGGTAATGAGTTATCTCACGTATTAACTCATAATTCTTTTAACTCAATCTCTCCTATTTATTTAATTCCTATCTTACAATCTTATCTTCTAACTATTTTATCTATCCTTTGTATTCATCCAAATCCAATATCTGCGATACTAATTATTTCGAATTCATTATTTATATATATATATATATTATAACTATATATAACTATTATAATATTGTATATTTATTATTATTTAACAGCTACAATGTTTACATCCACTCCTAAAATTAAACCTTATCAGTCATTACTATAAAACTCTCTCTAACATAAACCTATCTAATAACCTATTTTCGCTGAAATTACACCATCTACACCTTAAAAATTTAATATGTTGAAGAATCTCAAAGTTCTCAATGTCTCATCCTAACCTATTGAAAATAGTTTTAGATCCAGTAATGCTAAAAGAACATTAACATAAGATAGTCCTTAAATTAATAAAGAAAATGCTAATTTAAGATTTGATTAAGCCTCAACTTAAATTGAAATTTAACTTAAACATTACATGAAAGAAAATAAAAAACTATCTGATTTAGTTACTAAATTAACTAAAGAAAAATAAGAATTAATAACTTAAATTTAAAATACAGATTTTAATATTATTAAATAAAGAGTTGAAAGATTAGAATCTGTTATTGATCATTAGACTGATGAGATTGAAGATTGGAAAAAAAAATATAAAGATGTTTGTTAAAATGATCCAAGTTCATCTATTATTGATAATATGGTATTCTAATTATTAAATAATAGGAAACTCAAATGGCAGAAATACTCAAAGAAAATGAAAGACTAAATAAACTCCAATTAAATTAAGTTTAAAAAATTGAAAATTTAGAATAAATAATCAAAGACTTAGAATATAAAATTACTGATTAGAACAATTAAATTATTGCTTATGAAGAAGAAAGAATAAATTTCAAAGAAAAAGGAACAAATCAGCTAGAACAACCAAATAATACAATTAATTCTAACTTTTTAGAATACGCAACACTTATTGAAACAGTATGAAATATAGAATTTATTATAGAAAATTGCAGACTTAACTAAATTCGAACATGAGAATCAATAATAATACGAAGATTTAAAATAGTAATTTAATACTCTTCACACTAAATTGAATTAAATGAATGTGAAATCCTCTAATTTAGAATAACTTACTACTGTTTTAACTGAATTGAAAAATAATGTTAAAAATTAGAAGTATACATGATTATTATAATACTTTTTTAACAAAAATATTTAGCTAGAAATATAAATTTAGATAATATAAATATAAGCACTTCATTATAAAACAAGGAATTGACTGAATTAGAAGTATTTTATTATTTTTTTTAGTTTTTGGATTCTAATTTTTATTATGAATAAAAAAATATTACTTAATTAGTTTCTTCTAAATTTCCTTTTTAGATAAATTCTCTTTATTTGTATAATAATCTTTTCTTTCTTAAATACTATTAATAACTTTATCAATTCATTTATAGTAAATGGAGTTCCTACTTTAATTCCATCGAAAAATCAAAGAGTTTATAAATCATGTTATAAGTTTTCTGGTTTATCAAGATTGCTATATTTTTTAGGTTATTTGTATCACTATGATTACTAAATTAGAATACTTTATTCTTCAACTTACATTTTAACTAAGAGAAATTATATAAATCATCTTAAACATCATTTTTTTAATGATTGTACATCATTCTTTTTTCCATTTATTACGCTTAAAGACTTATTTGATATCAATTTATTTTAATTATTAAGTCTATTATTATGTTGCAGTAGGCTTAAGTTTATAACAATAAGTAATCAAAGTATTAAAAAGATCTAAATGATTAGAATGAAATCGATAACAAGTTAATATTGAAATAGATTAATATTTTCTAATTCTTTAGGTTTTTTTTCAGCTTATTCTTTTTTCAGCAACTTCTAATTCAGCTTCATGTTAATGTTTAATTCTTCACCTTTTCTTCTTCCTTTTTTTCTTAATCTCTTTTAATACAATAAATTTATTTTAAGAATGATTCTCTGTATTGTTATAAATATTCATAATCATCTTATTTATCCCAAGCTAAATTATAATCTTTTTCTAATCTATCTTTTAATTATTTAACTTAAGTTCCAATATTTAATCTTTCATTATCAATCTGTGGATTTTCTTTATTGACAATAGAATCTTTAGTATTATCCTTTATATTATATAATTTCTTCATTTGATTTTTGAATACTATTATATAATAAATTCATGGTTTTTGCAATAGCGAATGAGTTTATTCATAATATTTTCATTTCTTTTTCTATTGGTTCAAAATAAGGAAGTGATCAAATAATTTTGTTTTTCTTTATATAAATTAAAATATAAATATATATGAACTATATTATGATTTGTTTAATCTTGCTAAATTATCTATTATTTTATCTAGATTATGAAAATCTATACTCTTAAGATTAATAAAATAGTTTTTTTAGATTTAATCTTTAATTTCATAATTATTAGTTTGTATTCTTTTAAGTTCTATTTATTTTTCTTTAACTAATTTGATTTTATTATCAATCACATATCCCATACATTTAATTTCATTTGTTGATTTCCTTATATTTCTTAATATTATTTCCTCTACGAAATGATTACATTATGTTCATAAATTTTTAATTGTTTATAATATTCTTCTTAATAAGGTTTTGAAGGTTGATGATCAGATGATTCAGGTACTTTACTATCAATAGTAAACTTAGTCTTATCCCATTTAAATCCAGGTCTTTATCTATAATATAATTTATTGTTCTTTTATTATTTCTCTTAATTATATTCCTAATTTCCATTTTTAATCCATCTTTTTATATAAATAATTTAGGTTCCCTTCCTTTTAAGACTTATTAAGTTTATTATTATCTTTATTTAGATTCTTTCTTTCTATTTCAACTATTTTAATTAGATTTCTTCCTCTCAGTTTTTTATTATAAAATTGAGATAATTTATATATTACTAAACACACATATATTAAATTTGACATGTTTATTAAAAACTTTTAATTTTATCTTTTACAATATAATTCTGTACTGTTTATAAAGTATATAAATTTTTTATATAATCACATAAACAATAGTTCAATTTCTTAGGAATTTAGTGGTTTTTATAACAGTTTATTTGCACCAGCATTGAGACATATTTATTAAGTCTTTCTATCATTAAAAGCAGTTAATATATAGATCTTAATATCTGAATTTATCTTTTTAATTTCTATCATACATTATAATCCATTCATATTAGGCATATTCAAATCTAAAAATATTATGTCATAATTCTGTTTCATTACTAAATCTAAAGCTTCCTATCCTCCAAAAGCACTATCTACCTTCTTTATTCCTATTTTTTATAACTATATTTTTAATAACATTATATTAAAAGACTCGTCATCAACAATCAACACTTATAATTGATCCCTCTTTTTTATCTTTTTATACCCTCCAACCAGACGATTTGTACTAAAGATATTTTTATATGGAGAATTTGCTTAATCATAATCAATAGAATCAACACTAAATTAATCTTATTAACAGAGATGCTATTTATCATAATTTTTATAAATGACGAATTAAAAAGTTGAACCAACTCCAACTTAAGATTGTAGATATATGTACTACAAAGGCCCAATATATCCACACAACTGCTTACAGATGATTAATCCTAAACCAACACCATTTCTAACATTTTATACTAATACTCTACTTGTTTATGTTGCTATCATTGTCATATGTAGCAAAATTTCTAAAGAGTCTCCTTTAAATTTCTTGGCTCATTCCACTACCATTGTCAGACACTGTACATAGAATTAAACTTTATTGGCTTTTTAAAAGGGTATTAATATCAACTACTGATTTATTAGTTTCAATCTATTCTTTAACATTCTTACTAAATTTTATAATATCCTCAATATTATCACAAAATGTTATTAATATTTTTCCTTTTGATGTAAATTTTATTGCATTTGAAAGTAAATTAAAGAGAATCTACTTAATTCTCAATGGATCATTATTACATTAATTTGATTATTAAAGATTTGAAACTATTTCTAATTATAGATTCTTCTTTTCTATTTAGATTTGGAATACATTTTTTACCTCTCTAATTAATTACAATATATCTAATTAACTAATAGATAGCTTTAACTTTTATTTCTTAATTTAAGCAAAATCTTGTAAATCATTAACAAATGATTAAATAATTTTTACATTAGTTTAACACATTTCTAAAAAATTGCAACAAGATTATATCTTTTATTAAATATCTAAATTAGTTTATATTTCAGATAATTAATATAAATTATCTTAAACTAATGTAATCATTGATTAAACAACACCAATAGGATTTTTTAAATCATGACTGACTGTAGCTAAGATATTATCTTTATATTGATCTAACTTTTCAAGTTCACATATTTTGATTTTATCAGTTATTTCAATTAAGGAAACAATATAACTTTTTTAATGTTTCCAAATACATGGAGATACCAATATATCATAAGTTTTTTGTAGATTATTTTATTAATTAGTTATTAAACCTGTTAATTATAATGGTAAATTATCTTATAGATCTTTATTTTGACTGTTATTAATATATAAATTAAGCATTTAATTTAATGAAAAAGGTTTATCAATTATATTTATTTATCCACTTCTAGATGCTTTTAAATTATTTTATAGAAACTCTTAACTTTAATTTACTTTAAGATTGCATTAAGTATTGTGTTATTCTTTGTTATTTATGATTTATATTTCTGTTGTTCTTTAATAAATTTCTTGAATAGCAGCGAATTCTTTTTCACATGCTTAATTAACAAACAAAACTTAAAATTAATCTTAGAAACTTGAATCTTAATTCAACTTAATAACAAATAAATTTTATTATAGACTATGATTTAGTACTGCTTCTTAATAAGAGAGATCATGGCTGAAATTGAAGTTTTCAAAGAAATAAACTAATTTTCTTCTCTCTCTCAAATATATACTAATTGCTATTGTAAAAATAAATATCCATTAAAAAGGTATTAGTATCCAATTACAATAATTTTAGAAATATAAATAAATGATTTACATAATTGCAAAATAAGAAATTAAGTATTTTTTGTTGTTTAAGCTTTGAGTAACATAAATATAATATAATTACACATATCCATCAGTCAGAAACTAATTAGCATAAAAACTCAAAAAGATATGAAGTGCTAAAACATGAATTATTTTGCAATAGTCATTGTATTTTGAGTTCCTTTGTAAGCTCCATATTTACAAAAGGCTAGATAATGGAAAAACAATTAGAATTTATGATTAAATAGATTAACTATCTTAAAGTAATCCAGAAATTGTCAAAGCCAATTCCAAAAACATCTTAAAAGTTTCTATCAAAATCATTGTACTTTTATTTAACTATTTCTAGAAAGCTTTAAAACTTTTCTAAACATTCTTATCTTTGAAATTTAGAGTAGGATTCAAAAAAACATTTTCGGATTGTAAATTTCTTTATAGCTATGATAGAAACTACATCACTTTATCTTCTGTTATTATATATTTGTTAATTATATATTATTTTTTATTTCTTATAATCTTATAATTTGATATATAGATCTTACACAAAATACTCATTTTATTCAATATCAATCCAATCCAACTTATTCTAATCAAAATTATAAATTACATTCTCTTTTTATATTTAATATTATTATCAATCATTTACTCTTTTTATCAATAATCCATCTTATTTTCAAATCCAAAACCAAATCAAATTTGAAAAACCTAATATAAAATGAACTATTTTATAATTATAAATAATATTCTTCTAAAACTAAATATAATTAAAATATTCTTTATCAAATTTATTGTTCTTTTTAAATACAAACAGAGAGATTAATGTTTTTATAAAGAAATAGTTTGAATTTATTAGTATATTTAATTAATCAATTAATTAAACTTTAATCTAAATGAATCAAAAATATATTATAATAAACTAGACTTATCTACTTGTATTTTATATGATAAAAAATAAAAATTATATAGTTAAAGTAACAAAATATGATGAACAATGTTTTAAAACTATTCAATTATATCTATCTATTTCATTTTTAATTTTAATGTAGTTTTAAAAGCCAAAAATGATAGAAAACGAAGAAGATTTGTTAATGTGCAAGCAACATTAGCAAAAAATAGAATTTGTATTACTGGATGCTTAATTACAGAGAAATTAAAGGCTCTTATGCAAGTAATGTCTTCAATAAAAACCATCTAATTCTTAAATAATGGATTATCAATAACTTAAATAAGGCTTTGATAAATCATAAAGAGAAAAGATTTAATAATATGAACCAATAATTTAGCCTCACATTTAATGTGCTGAAAGTTTGTAGAAAAGTGTAAGTGCTCTAAAATCAAGATTAATTTTAAAAACTGATTATTTATTAAATCTTACTCAGGAATGGATCATGGGGATAGTTAATTAAGTAAATAAATACAGCTTTTTTGAAGAATTAGATAAATATATTTCGAAACAAAACTCTATTGTTGATTAGAAAGTGATTTTTAGTTTTTTAAAGAGTTTCAATAGAGATGTGATTAGTAAATTTACAAGTTGTTTGCAATAACTTCATGATTCCCATTAAACAATTCCTTTTTAAGATATTATTTCTTATAATTAAAATTTAATAGAAATTTAAGAAAATGAAATTAATGGAAATCTCTAAACTGATTTAGAAATTTAAAGAAAAAATAATTTAGAAAGAGAAGAAAGCTGTGAAACTTATGAAGGGATATTTTGGGATTATTTATATGATCCACCTCGATAAACCAAAAGGAAATTTAATATTATTTATACTAAAAATATGGAGATAAAATATACTTTTGAAGATGGTTGTATAATTAGAGTGTAATAATAAATCCAAATTTAGAGATTAAATAAAAGATAAATCAAAAAAGCCTGATCCATTAAAAAACTTAGAATAAATTTAATTTCTTTAATGGATAGGATAATATAGCAAAAACAATTAGAAAACAGGAAAATGGCAAGCAACTTGGAAGTGTGAGATTTTAGAAACTGTAGGAGGCTTATATTCTGAAGAGGGAAAAAAAAATGGATTTTGGAAAGAATTATTTAAAAATTATTAAACGTAACTTGAGAACTTTTATTCTATAGATTTTGTGAAGTTTATGAAATAGGAGAATACGTCAACGATGAAAAAATAGGAAATTGGAAATACATTTTTGCTGGAAAAGCAATGTATTTCTATTTTTAATTAATTATTAGTGGTGGTGGAATATATTAGAATGGGAAGAAAAATGGTAATTGGACTGAATTAAGTGATAATTTTAATAAGTAATCAATAATTTCATCTATATACATCAGCTTGAGTTAAGTAACCAATTGTGGTGAATATAAATTAGATACAAAAATTGGAAGATGGGAAATTTATTCTCGAAAAGATAGATATTCATAGTTTAATAAATTTTAGCTTATTATTATTTTATATTTTTCTATTTAGAGGTGAAGGGGAATACAACAAAGATGGTCTTAAGAATGGAAAATGGGTAGAATTAAGTGAAGATTTTAGTTAGTATTCGTTTATTAATTCTTAGGGACATTTTCTAATCGAACGAAGTTATTTATGAAGGAAATTATATAAATGATAAAAAAAATGGACTTTGGAATGAATTGAAGAGAAAAAATTTTAAATCAGAATTTTAAAAAATGTATTATTGATCTTTTAAATAAATATTTAGACGAGAAATATACTATTTAGATTTTCAGAAGAAAAATAAAAAGTGAAATTATTTTATCTAATTATTTTTAATTTATTTTCTTTATTTCTAAACTATGAAAACAAAATTTTTTATATTTTTTGAATTATTTAATAAAAGTTTAAATATGTTATTTATTAATAATTGATTATAAATGATTAATTAAATCTATTACTGTTAATCTAGTTATTCTTATCTGTATTTATTTATATCAATATTCACTGCATCTAACAATTTCAGATCATATTTCATAATGGATCTCAATCATTCAAAATAAAAACCTAAAAATTATAAGAAAAAGTGATTTTAAGTAATTAAAAGTAGTCATGTCTAAAGAAAAATTATTAAAAAAATACAATTAATAATAAAATTATTAAGAAAATCTTACACTACTTATATTAGAAAAGAGCTGAAATCAAATAATTATGTTTATTTAGACTTATAACATGGCAGATTTAATGTTTACAAGTTAATATTCCTTAATGAATGAAAAAAGTTTAGAAAAAATATATTTACACTAATAGATATATTAGTTTAATGAAAATTAAATAAATAAACTTCTCAAAAAAAAAAATATAGCAAATTGCATTGATTAGTTTAAATTCATATGTGGTGCTTAAATTATAAATAATATTGTATTAGAAAATTATATGGATTTATAAATTTTAATGTTGTTCTAAAAATTTAATAAGATTTTATACATTTTTTTAGTGTTGAAAAAAAGTACTTTCTCATGAGTGACTTTTAAAAACAAAAGTCATTCAAAATCTTTATCCTTTATGAAAAAAAAAAAAGATGTAACAACAACAAAAAACTTCAGAAATAAGATTTATTGAATAAAAATAAATTTAATACAATAAAAATAGAATCTATATATATA